GAAAAGTTTCATGGAACTCAAATGAGCTTCGAATTGCTTTAACGATTCTAAAGGCTACGTATATGATAACGAAGTGTGCAACCAGAAAGCGCGCGTGGAGTTTGTGTACATTTGACCTAAATTACTTAACCTAACGCTTCTCGAATGTGCCTCCTCGAACACAAATAGAAAGGAGTCTGTTTTTAGTGCATGTCTAAGTCAAAACTAAGAATATAGATAAAAATCTAATACAAATTTTAAGGCCAATTTTTTAATATCAAAATCACTTTCGATGAAGAAAAATTGTATCGCACACGCATATACAAAATTAAATATAGAATTTTGTCATAAAAATTAAAAATATTAAAGCTAAAGATTGCCTTTCGGGTCTCGGACAAACGCAAACTCCATTAAAAAAATTTATTATAAAACTTATTATTAATCTTTAATATTCTATATAATATCAAATAAATAAATAGTATTTTTAGGCATAGTAAAACAGAATAAATAAAGTGATTTTTTTTTATTAATGATGTACACGCTTTTATGATTGACAATTTGCTGTCAATTCGTTTGAAAATTCGTTTTATTTCACATGATAATAAATGGATCATGATAAAAATGTACGCGTAGTAAATACGCATAAATTTAAAAGCTCTATAACATGATATTTCAAAAAATATTATTCGTTCTCGTCCGAAACTCGTCCGAGGGGACAGAAAGCAAGCGCGAGCACCCAGTGCGACCGCTGGATTTTCGCAGCGAGACTCGCAAACTAACGTTCTAACAGACATTTTCTTGGCAGGGCAGTCTGTTCTGTTGGCGAGACGAACAACACTCAGGACTCCACGCCGGGCCTCAGCGAATTTGGGAAAGTGAGTCAACATTTACATTGTACGCGCTCCACTGCGGATTTACCTTTTTCAGTGAACAGGGAAATATCGCGTTCGCAAAAAAAAAAAATGCTCGCGTGTACATACATGCTTCCGAAAGAGTTTCCGTTTTATGACCGCGGACGGAGTTGCCCGACATTCTGCAGAAAAATAATACTGCAGACTTCCGGCCAAGATGCGTCCCAGTATTATTCCGCGAAACGACCGTGCGACAGTTTAGATTATAATTTCGCTATGAACTCTGCACGTATACGTTATAACGCGAATATTGCATTAAACATTTTTATCTTTTTTTACGGAAATAAGATGCTTCTTCAATAAATAGTAATATCAACATTGAATCAGAGAGAGTATTCCATGTTGCTAAAATATTTGAAGTAATTAAATGTTGTTTCTATAGAAACTATATATATATTTGCATGTACATTATTACAAATTTTCTAAAAAATATAGGTGTGGATTTAAGGCTATGAGACATTTAATAATATTTATATAATTCTTACTATTGGTGTTAATATAAATATCAACGTATGGATTTAACATGATAAAACTCATAGTGTTATTTGCTAACAGATTTAAACGCTACATTTTTCCCATTTGGACAAAAAGTACTGAATGGGTGCTCTCTCTAAAACTTTTAGAATAAATCTCACTCTGAAGAATGAAATCTCACTCTTAAAGATTAAAAATTGAGCCATTATTTTTCAAGACTGGCTCAATTTTCACTCTTTATAGTGAAAATTCATTCTAAACAATTTAGAAAGTATTAAATATAATTCTCACCGTGCTGGCTTAATATAAACACCAACAGTATATATGTGAATTTAACATCACAAGTTTTAAACCATACACGGAGAGAATTCTTTCTTAGAGTTTATCCTAAAAATATGATAGTCGTAGGACAACATTGTATTTCGAAGAATTTTAATGTAAATCTCATTTATTGATAAAACTACAATAAAGTATAAAATAAGTCTGATTAATTTTACTGAAGTGCATGGTAAAAATCTTTAAAATATTGTATTGTACAACTACCATATTTTCAGGGTGTAAATTTTAAAAGAAAATTCTCATATTTTTTGTAATATTATTGTCCAAATGGAAAAAATGTAGCGTTTAAATCTGTTAGCAAATAATGCAAAACGATGAATTTTATCAAGTTAAATCCATATGTTAATATTTATATTAACACCAATATATAATAAGAATTATTAAATATCTCATAGCCTTAAATCCATACTTATTGTTAGCGTTTATATCAACACCATAAATTTAACACCATAATATATTAAATATACACTCATATTTTTTGCAATATTGTTATTCAAATGGAAAAAGTTTAGCATTTAAATCACCTATTATTGAATGAAATGCATAAATACATAAAATAATGCCTGCTAATTTCTATAACACTTCGCGCTTGTACGTTAAAATTTCCCAACGGCTTACCCTTCTGGAATATCTAAATAAACGAGACATCACGACGGCACATTACATCAGGGACGTTCCCAATTTTCGTAGCGGGATTTAGATCGTAGCTTCACGATCTCGATGGCTGAAATTATTTTTCCACGACGTAACCAGGGAAATGATCGTCAACGAACGCGCAACTGATCGCGTCCGACCTACATTCCGTTTATCACTCCCGTCGCTCCGCCGCGTTCATAAAATTATATCCCGACCCACTTTCGCGCGCGTAGAATTCGTTGAGGGATTTCGAGCGTTAACGCATAGGTTCGCCGATCTCGACGAAGCGAATTTCTGCCATTCAGCGTCGCTCGTGATTCTCATCCAAAAAACCGAAGGAAACGAATCCTCATCGGATAGTTTTCGCATCAATTGAATTTTTGTCAAAATTCATAATCCTATGACACAATGGCAGTTTTTGATTAAAAGAACAAAAAAGGAAAGGAAACACTGGTAGTAGACTCGAGAAGAAATAAGGAAGACATAAACGGACGAGGAAAACGCGTAAGAACGTAAATCATACGAATCACCTACCGTTGTCTCGCATCCTTTGCAACGGCTAAATTTTATATTAATAAATGATACAGGTCTTCCAAAGAAAAATTCTACACGCAACGTTAAATGTTCTGCCATTTATCATTGACGCTCGTCCTCATGAAGTGTGTGTGTGTGTGCTAAATATAAATATTTTATCTATAAATCGACAATTAAAAGTCTGAAATAATCCGCTGTCGCCGTGACGTTGTCTTTCCAAATAACATGGTCCAGAGTTTTAATCATTTTGTTCATTATATACGATCTAGATTTTTGCTGTCTATATTTAGTTCATATATTTTACTGCATTACATGGGGAAAGAACAATTTTACTGAATTATTTAAGAATTTCGCCAGATATCGATTTGAAAATAATTTTGTTGTATTATCGAAATAATTACGTAAACGCTCAGGTTGGTTGCTAAAATGTCAAGTGCAATCGTTGTAATTTTAATTACAAATTGTAAGAAAAAGTTGTAAGAAAAATTAATGCTAATTTATTAGAAGCTATCCGAAATTTTAAAATGTAGTTTTAACTGTAATTTTAAATGAAGATGACCGCATGCGAATAAAAGTTGAAACGTCTAATTTGTTATTCTAATAGGATTCGAATGCGATAAAGATTAGTTTCGCAACAAGAACTAGCGATGGCTTTTATACTCCCTTCCTACATTGTTAATGATTTATTCATAAAGCCTTTGTCATTTTATAAAATGTCAAACTTTTTACAGCATTGCTCATAATATTTGAAAGTTCAACAATTATTTTGATGGTCCAACAAAACTATTTTCAAATATATATCTAGCTAAATTTTCAGTTCAGCAAAAGAGTTCTTTCCATCATGTATAATCAAAGGACTGACTGCAACAGTAGATTAACACATATTTTGTAAACCTAGAGAAAATAAACTCTAAAGTTAAAATAATGGGAAATAGTTGACTAACCCACATTTTTATAAAATTGCAGTAAGTCCTTCAATTTATTCTTTACTGCAAGAAATCGAAGAAAGAAAACTTAATTAATAAATATCGCTGCTTCCGCTATAACGTTATTTCAGCATACATTCATTGTAACTGACTATCGAAAAACGGTAAATATGGCTGAGCCATGGTTACAATAAATTATTCGGAAAAAAGAATTTCCTGTACGCGCGATATCAACTGTGTTCTATTTTGTTTGCTACGCAAACGAAAAGTCGCGTTGCCTGGCCGTGTCTCGATTGTCGCAGCACACCGCTGGCTATATTGAAACACCGACGGTACGAAAGTATTATTGCTGCTAGCCTGGTAGCGGGCGAACATTTCACCAAAAGCGAAATTCCGATAATCTACAAGTCCTGGAAGTAATATCGCCCTCTTCTTCCTCCTCCCCTCCGTCTGTAATACTGAAATATTTTTATCAAGAACAATAATCTACCTCGTATGCGTTAATTTGGTTTTCCAAAAAGAGAGATATCTCTTCGATTTTACGTTACACGAGATTCAGTAAACATCAACTATAGATAACATAACATCAATGTTATAATTTCACATTCAACTATGTAACTGATACGCATAACGTATGTTACATTTATAACCGCTCGTTTTGAATATCCGACAAAACGTTTCAATCAGAATGAATTTAATATCGCTCTTTTCCTTCGTCTGTAATACTGAATTTTTTTATCAGCAATAATTCACCTCGTGCGTTAGTTTGATTTTCTGTCCAAAGAAGAAAAATCTCTCCTCTTTCGCGTTTAAGTTTCTGTTCAAACGAAAGAAATTTCTTCGCGTTATACGAAACCCTGTAAACACAAACTAAAAGTAACACAACATCAATGTTACGATTTCACACTCAATAATATAACTGTTACGTATAACGTACGTTATACTATATTTATAATATTGAGTACGTAGTAAAATTATAACATTGATGTTATGTCACTTTTAGTTGATGTTTATTGGAGAATCTCAACATATACAGACAAACTTTTACAGCCGCGCAGACAACTTGAAATGTTGGTAATTAAATAGAATCATAAATGAGTGACTCATTACCTCGAAATCTAAGTCTCTCGGAACCGTCTGTTTGTATAGCCGGCAATGTGTTTCAAGCGAAACGAATTTCGCGTGTCGTTTCAAATGGAAACGTCGCGACGCCACGGCTCGTTCGGAAAGACAAATGGAATTATCTGAAAATTCCCCGCGCGTGCTCGTGTCTCCTCGTACAGTTCAACCTTCCATAACGTCATGCCGCTGTAAATACCGGCATGCATTTCCGACGATGGACAGCATCATCCATCCTGCATCACGCCCCGGCAAAAAGAGTTTGAAATAAATTCGCTGCCGCGTGTATGAGCGCGCGTGTGGACGAATGCGCAATTCGACGAACATTTTTGCCCTGTACTCTCTTGTTCCTTCGGCCTGTTATTTCTATTGAACGACCTATATTTTCCGTTCACCAGGTGCGCGAGTACGTACACAAACGCATCTTGAATCACCGTTAACGCGACGCGGTGATGTATCGTGAAATTATAGCGATAGCTCGCGGCGTTGTATTTGTCACGGTTGCAACATGGCACGGGGCTTGATTTTATTGCGGCTTTTGGATGTGACGATTAGTTTCGCCTAGTCCCGCCACGCGTTCGATATTCAGCAACAGGCATCGGATTACACCACGAAAATTCGTCGTTTCGTCCACCGCGCCGCGGGATACAGACTATAAAATTGCGGTTTCCTCCCTTTTAATTTTCGCAAAGAATTAAAATGATGTCGAATGCGGTAATAATTATACCGCAATGCTATTAATTTGAAAATTCTCGATTAAATTTAAATTGATCAAAAAATTTCACGAATATTATTATGAAACAGAAATTAGAATTTATATACGCTAGTTACATGCTAAAAATCACTGAAATAATATCTCTTAATATTTATTATAATGAAATTTTTACGATATAAGTACTTGCGACATAATCCTTAACAGCTTTATTTTGAGTTTACGAATCGTTTGTATATCATGCATCTTTTCTCTTTCGTAAAATTCTTTTTTATTTTGCACTAAAGAGAATCAAAACATTTGCAATACTTACGCAATTTGTTAATAACAAAGTTACGCATTAACAACCGTATTGAATTCTTATTGAAAATTTTAGTTTTAGTTGATTGATTCATTCTTGGAGCCTAATTTTTTTATTTCAATTTTATTTAATTTTTATTACTATACCCTACAGCCTTACGCAATTAATCTCCTCACACGGAAAGAACGGTTTCAGAGAAATATCTAAAACTTTAGCTATGTATATATAGATACAGATTTGAAAATAATTTTGTTGGAAACTTAAACTGGCTAGAATGTTAAAACTTTTTGCAGCATTGTCTGTCGTATTTGAAATTCCTACGTAATTATTTTTATAGTACGACAAAATTATTTTCAGATCTGTATCTAGTTAAATTTTAGATACTTCAGCAAAACCGTTCTTTCCGTGTAACTATTTACCCGTCTATTCTACCTGTCCGCGACTTTATTTGCATGTTTTTACGATATTTCGCATGCGAACCACGTTTTTCGTTTGTTTCTCGCTCGGTTAATAATACTGCTGATAAGAAATCATTCTCTCTATTCGCGTAATCATCTGTCTCGCTAAAACGACGCATATCAGAGACCGTCTCTCCGCAAAAACAATGCGCGTCGTTTTCTACCATCGATTCACGAGACTCGAATCATTCGCGTGAAATCGTGTACGCCGAGAAAAGTGAGCTCTCACCCTTAATGCCGGAAAAACGAGACCATTGTGATTTGTTCTTCCACCCACCTCCCTCCACTTCCTTTTCCGTCGACAGGACTGTATTTATCGAAATTTGCTCGCGACGTTTGTAGAAAATACGTAGAAACACCCGAATAAAAGTCATGATCTCTAAAATTAATGAAAGAAAAAAAAATGGATAAAATAACGAAGGGATGTAATCAGTTCTTTCAATTCGATCCGCTAATTATTTTTAGCAATTTTTCCCGTATTTTAAAAGTTAATTAAATGATTCGTTAATTAAAAAAACGATATGGGTCAAGCTAAACTCGGAAAATTGAACGAAATTAACGCGCTAATCTATAACGTTGGAACTCGCAACGATCCTTAAAATTAAACTTACTCCATTTCCAAGATAAGGAAAAGCGATTAACATTTATGGCAGAAGAGGGTCGCAAATATACTACCTCGAGCCTGCGCTTCGACCAATCGCCAATACATTCAAGCTTTTTCCCATATGAGGGAATGGACGGTTGCTTGCGTTCTCGGTTAACGTTCGCTAGTCGAAACTTCCTCCGTTTCTCATGATATTTTTCTCTTACCCTTTCCCTCTATCGATCTTTCCTACGTGTTTTTGCACATAATAGACGCACTTCGTCCCATCCGACATTTCGATCGCTTTGAAATTAAAAATATTTACGATACTTTGATTGTTCCTATGCTTCACTTTCGTTATCGAATATTCTCTTTTTGAAGCATAAATCTAGAATATATATTTAAAATATATAATATTACATCACACACACACACAAAAGATATATTATACCACAAATATACCTGAGAAATAGTAACGAATAGAAAGGCAATGTCCTAAAACGTTGCACTATAAAAAGTCTTATTACAATAATTGGAATTCTAGTAGATTCAATCAGAAAGGTACAAATCAGACACTTATAATTAAATCTAGCAAACGTTCTAATCGAGATAACCAGAAATTCAATTACGATAACTGGAATTCTGATTCATATGATTAGAATTTGTTTTGTACTAATTCTTGTTAGTACAACCAAAACATTTTTTTCAGTGTGTGCAACTTTTTTACTTACGTTACCTACCCGTTTATCTATATTATTTTTTATCTAAGTAATAATAATAATTTGGAATTTTTTTTTATAACCAGAATTCTAATTCATATAATCAAAATTCGTTTTAAAATTTATTAATACTTCTTGTTGGTACAACCAAAACAGTTTTCTCGTGTATAGCTTTTTTTACCTGCTTTATTTATCTATTTTTATCCACAATACTTTCATCTAAATTTGCAATTTATGTTTTATGGATAAGTCATTCTATCGCGCTTTCGAAATTTAGCTTAATCCGCCTATCTGCTTTATAAGATAGCCGCATTACTTTATAGAAACAAAAATGAATTTTAACGCATTTCATTTATTCCGCAGGCAGTTGTCAGGGAATTGAACAGGCTGGGCATGCTGGTCGATCTCTCGCATGTCTCGACAAGAACGATGAGGGCGGCCCTGCAGACGACGAGGGCGCCGGTGATCTTCTCGCACAGCGCTGCCAGGGCGCTGTGCAATTCCACCAGAAACGTGCCGGACGACGTGCTCAGAAATCTGGTGAGTTCTCCGCGTCGCATAAACACGTATACCCCGAATGCAATCGGATTGCGCTTTAAAAACAGAGTGGAAAAGAAATACGGTAAACGGATCAGTTCAATTATTCCATCGTTGCTGATATTCCGCACTTTCCGCAGAAATAGGTAGCGAGCAAAACGGAACGCGCTGTCACGAGGAAAAAAAGCGATACGTCGATTGCAATATGTACAGACGGATTTATTTATTTATTTATTCAGGTCTCTTGCTACCACGCGCGCGTCGGTCAGTTAGAAAACACTGCAGAGTATGAGCGCTTGTGTACAGAAAACGAATGAGATATTTCTTTGCTACACCGCGCTTACAAGAGACGGACAGAGAAAATCAAAGCGGGGGCACTCGCGAAAATGTAAACCAGCGCGTATGAAAGTTGCTGGCTACCGCAGCTACAGCCTTTGTTCGGTCATACCGAGATTATTTGATTTCGGGTCAGCGTACATACATGCTACGGACCAGATCGTACTGAAGCTCAGTTTTGGTGTGGTTTAGTATTGGTGAGCGACAACTGCCCGGCGGAATTACGATACGTGTAATATTTGAGGAGCAGCGAGTAATAAAATATCCGCAGCTACGCTGTAAACATGGCCATGAACATTATTGATTTTACGCGGCAATGCAAAACAGCCTCGTCAAAAATTTATTTTTATATTCTAATTAATTACAACTTCAATGCGGAACTATAATTAGAAAGGCAGCAATGTTAAAATAGCATTATCGTGGAAAACGTACAGAAAAAAACGATTTTATTGAAATATCTAAAAATCTAGCTATAAGACGTAGATGTGAAAATAATTTGTTAGATCATCAAAATAATATGTAGGACGCTAAAATTCGATGATAATATTATATTATAAAAAATTTTGGCATTTTAATAACTAATTTAATAAATAAGCGTCTTACGTAATTATTTTGATCCGAAAAAGTTATTTTCAAATTTGCAGCTAAATTCTTGTACCGAAAAAAATTATATTATATCAACAACATTATTTTAATTAAAAATAATTTTGTTAATTTACACACACACATACACACACACACAATAATACTATTATAATGAAACAAGTATGTCATGCTTTTGTTTTCATAAAATTTTATTCGTTTTATCAATACTATTATTGAATTAATAAGATTATTTTCAATTAAAATAATGTTGTTGATACAATTTTTTTTTTAATGTAGATGCTTCAATAAAATCGTTCTTTCCATATAGGTATAAATCTGAAACTTCATGCTACCAATAAAATAATTATGTAGGAAACTCAAGCGTGATGAACAATGCTACATAAAATGTTGCCATTCTAGCAATCAGCTTGAACGTTCTACGTAATTATTTTTTTTTGATAGTCCATTATTTTCAGATCTGTATCTAGCTATTTAGATACTTCAGCAAAATCGTGTATGTAAAAAGATATAATAAAATATGATAGGTAATAAAAATATGATAAAAATCAAATTATATGATAGAATGATATGAATATGAATCAAATGTGTGATAGAATTCCAATATGGTAGAATTCGAGAAAAAATAAAGCATACGCCGCGAAAATAAATAGCTGCCAACAATCGCTTTTTATATATTGCGATCGTTCGAGTGCATGTAAAAGGAAATAAAAACGCGAAAGCAAAAAAGAAGGTGTGCGCACAGTGCTGGGTGATTAAACGCAAGTTTTATCGACAGATCTGATATCTGGAAGAGATGCGTAACGTCGAAATTAAATTCGTAGCGTACAAGCAAAGTGAGGCCAGCCGTGTGCAAATCGAACGCGATACGAGAGCAGTTTGCAATCCGCAAAGTTGTAAAACGTGAGCACGGATCGGTGGAAACGTGCAAGAACGTCGGGATCTGTATTATCAAACACAAAGTAACATCGAGAACGCGGAAATTGTTCGAGTTCATATAACGAGATAATCGCAAACTATTCGGAATCGATGAAGGTGCGAGGACTCGAGATATATATATCAAAACGATTTGGAGCAATGGAAACAACGCGCCAGAATAGCACGAGTTAGAAATTTAAGGCTTAATCCACGTTATTATCGATAATTCTGCTCACACCCACCATCGCCAATTGGCGTTAATCCAATCGCGGTATTAATCTCGTCCTTTGAACTGCAGCACCAAAATTTTTCCTCGCCCATTAAATTTGCGAGGAGCATAAACGCGGTACGATAATTGACGTTTCATTAATAGTGTAACAGTTGGCCGAGGACTTAAACGTAACGCTTCATTAAAATTTCATCCCATTCTCGTAGATTCTCGTACCGCATGTCCGTAGATTAACAATTGACGAATCGACGACGATCAGCTCAAGGAGAGTTCTAAGTTAACGAAATTAAATTCAATTTATTACTGATTAACTTTACACTTAGGGACTTTATTGAAGGAATGTGTGTACGATGTGAATTTAATACTTCATTTTATGTTCTGTAGCATTATTTATGTGGGTCATTGGATATCGTCCATATCCAATGCAGTGTAATTTCTAGGAAAAGTTCTAATATAATTATGTAAAGAATTAATAATGATTATATAATAAAAAAATTTATTATCCCCAGATAAAAAAACTTAAATTATAAATATGTAAAATATTATGGAAATTATATTATTTTAAAGAATTATATTAAAAACGTTAATAATTATATTAAAATTATAAACAATATAAATAGTAAAAGCAACAGTAACTAATAACGTATCAATATTTTATAATATTATAATCCATTTTGAGATTCGTATAAAATATGAAGTTCTGAGAGAAAAACGTTTATTTTTACTAACCTGGCGCTAATCTATTCCAATATCTTTATATTACCTAATAATTTCTATTAATATTTTATTCCTGAAAAATTATATTTAACGACTATCTCGTTTCATTTATTTAAAATATTTATTTATATAATGAGATAGCACATTAAATGTGACTGGCATAGATTTCTCCGACTTTTTCGAGACGAGACGATACGAGAAAAAACAAATGACATATGATATAATAATAATATCGGAAATGTTATTTTAAACGAGATGAGAAGTTTTGAGACAATATTCCGAGATTTTCATATCGAAATGCATCACTAATTATATTACTTTATTCATCGATGGTTTTGAAACACATTTTCAATTTGCAAAGTATAGTGCACGCGAAGTATTGTTAACCCATCTTCGAAAAACAAGATGATTACTGATTAATTAATCGAAATTTTCCTCGATGTCTTGAAGTCACCCTAACATCGCCATGTCCACGAACTTCATTCCCTTCTCTCTCCATGAGCGATCGATATTTCCTTAATTATACCCGCAGAACGAGAGGATGAGTAACAACGATCTAAGCCGGATGGCTTGTCCGGTAACGTGTTATTAACCGCGTTGTCCTGCTGCTCTAATTAACATTGCATAGAGTTTAAGCAACGATAGGTATCAAATAAACAACTGCGTGTTCCTTGAAACAGTTTCCTCGATAGTTTTCGCATTCAGTTGATTAGAAAAAACCGATAAAGTTAATGAAGAAATTAGTATTAATTGAATTGTTTTATATTTAATACTTTTTTGTAATAGGCACCTATTATAAAATCTCTCTTGTAATTTTATTTTCATTATTAATTATTAATTTTCTGAAACGATTTCTTTGATTAAATTATATCATATATTTCATGTTTACAATAATCTGGTAGAACGAATTAAATTAATAAAATATTTAATTTATTTTTATATCGAATTTTTTATACTATAGGATCCTATCCATTGTTATACGTAGGATTTGAAGGAATTAAAACGGCCTCTCTTTAGGATCCCATGGTATAAAAAATTTGATATAGTACATTGTAATGTACATCAAATTTGAAGACATTATTCGTTGAAATTATTTAATTCTATCGACATCATCTGAGATCTGATGTACATAATAATAATGTATACGTTAGAAAAATAGTTAAAATTTTGAAAAAAATTAATTGCTGTTTAGTATGAATTATTTATCAAAGTGCGCATAAATTGAATTAAAAAAAAATTTTTAACATGGTTTCAATAAAATCAGATTTGAAGGGATTAAACAACCAGCCATTTTCTAGCGAATAAATTTCAGTAGTGGAATAATGTATATTATGATTTTATTGTACATAACTGCACGATGTAATTTCGTGTCATACGTTTAAAGATCGAAAGAAATACGATAGCACAGCGTGTATGACATTAATGTATCTGTTCACAGGCTAAGAATGGCGGAGTGGCGATGGTCCCTTTTTATACCTACTTCATAACATGCAACAGCACCGCTACTATAAAAGACGTTATTGGTACGTGCAACGCTATACGCGAAACTGTGCTAAGCTGAACCCCGAGAGTAAATTATACCGTATCAATATTGCATGTGACAGACGCGTAATTACTGTACACGTTGTATTTTACGTCACGTTGACACATTTTCCGTTGTAAATTTAATTTTCGGAGCCATGCTCGTAAAAAGACGTAAAATTACAACAAAATAAATGCATCCGTTATTTTTCGAATGAAGAACAAACGTGTATCTTAATACAATAAGAATTCTGTAATTCATCTTGCTTAGCCATTTTTTAAGTGGGATATATATTTACTTCTACTTTAACGCTCGCAAATACGTGTATTTAAAAAGATCCGTTTTGTGTGTGTGTGTGTGTGTGTGTGTGTGTATGTGTGTGTGTTTCTGACAATAATAAAACATTTTACCTTTATACCTATGCATGCATGACAACCTCATGAGCACGTTACCTCATAACCGTGCTATTCCCCAATCACATTTTATTCCCGCAGGTAAAAGCGCATGCATTTATATTAAAATATTTCATATTAAAATATTTTATGACATGCTGACACCAGGACAAAATGATTAAGGCCCAATATATTGTTTCAGCACACATCAATCATATTCGAAAGGTGGCGGGAATCGATCACGTTGGAATCGGAGCGGGTTTCGACGGGATAAATTTGTAATTATTCTTTCACAATATCTATTTTCGCGCGCAGGGGCACTCAGAGACAACACGCAAACGGTGCGTTGTTATAAAAGTAATTTGGTGCAGTAACGCTTGTGATTAATTTCGTCAAAAAGTACGAGCCGTAATAAATCTGCAACTCGACGTAAATATGTATTTAACCTACAGAGAGTTCCACTTTTACGCTCGAGGATAATTGCTTCGCTTGTTTTCAGAAGCGCGTTTTGAGTCCCGAGGGGTTAATTTTATGGAGGGGAAGCACAAGAAACAATGCCCAAGGAACTGCTTTTGTTCCGCAGTCATGAAACTTTCACAAAGTGCCTATCATGGTTCTTGTAATAATGTAAATGCATAGTAAAATATATCGTTGTTAACTCAACTTCTTTTTTCTTCATCATAATTTTTTTCAAAATTTATTTCGATTTAACCATAGCTCTGTTAAAAATACACTGCATATTCCTATGAAGTTGTCACTATCAGTTCAGAAAGAGTGAAATAATTTGAATCATATCTCTCCCCCCCCTCTCTCTCTCTTTAAAGTATAAAAAGTTAAAGAAAGATGCTCATATGTTCAATTCTTTCTAACTGAGCAGAAGCTAAGATCATGGAATATACAGTCTATACCCATTACGTTCCTTTTGACATTCAAAATATGGCTTTTCTTTTATATTGATTTATATTCATTGAATATCGCTCATAAAATCATTAAAATATGTTATCCAAACAGAAACGTAAATTTTTGTAGTTTTCCGATTAAACTTACATGCTCGAATAAATACGTTTCACAATAAATTAACTAATTGTACAAGTTATTTTCTATTTTCGAATTCAATACTTATTCATAATAACAATCAGACTGTTCAGACCAATGTGGAATCACAAAAGCTTGCGTATCTATAATAATGCGTGGGACACACGTCAATTGCGAGTACAATACTGTAGCAGAAGTGAAAGTATTGAAAAGACCAGTTTTATGACACTAAATATACCAACTCAGATTGACTAAAAATATAATTCATATCGTTTTCAAAACAAATGATTCAATCGTTATTCAGTTTATTGTTACGATGCTCTTTTAGAAACTGGACATAACGCATCGAACGCTGCGAATTTATCGTCGTTCTCTGAGTGTTGCCTCAAATCAGTTAAGTTAAGAAGATCGTTTGACCCTCACGAGATTTGTCCCTTTTACAGTACTCCCACGGGTTTAGAGGATGTCTCGAGGTATCCGCAACTATTGGCCACCTTGTTAGAGGATCCTACATGGACGGAGGATGACATCAAGAAACTAGCCGGCCTCAACTTACTGAGGGTATTCGCCAAAGTCGAACAGGTATGGCGATGTTCGTTTTTAATTGGCTGCAGAATGCCGTTCTTTTACGATCATTATTTACGATGGCTGTAAATAAAAAGCATTTTTCGGCTGCTAAAACAAAACATCCTACACCAATTCTGGATATCTGACTACGATTAATCGTGCGCGCTCGTTGAATATATTTATCAACGTTCTTGGATGGTTATTTATAACCATTATAAAATTTTAACACGCTTTGTTACGCATGTGCTAAGCTAATTGAGTGCGTTATAACTATGGCGTTGCTTCTGTTTTCACAAGTTCATTGTTGGAATTATTTTCACGCTCGCAATAAAGATAATAGCTTTATATGACATAAAAAATAAAAATAGCAGAAACAAGCTTTTTCAAGCAAATCGAATAGTTACATAAAAAAAAAAAAAAAAAATAAAGACATTAATAAACAATGAAATATTATAGTAGATAATATTTTTATAGAAAAATTTACAATAAATGCTACGTAATTTTCTTCCTATAAAGATTAGTTTGGATTAGTTTTTTCCTACAAAAAGAACGATTTTATAAAAGTACCTAAAAATTTAAGTAGATACAGATTTGAAAAATTTTGTTAGACCATTAAAATAATCATACAAGAAACTCAAACATGATCAGCAGAGCTGTAAAAAATTTTGCATTGGTACATTGAAATAAAGTTAATCAAATCGATCACAAACTCTCTTTCTGAATTAATTTTTAAATGATTTAAGTATAACTGACAGCGACGATATGAATGAGAATTTTAAGTACTTTATTTCAATGTACTAATTTTTTCTTGAGTGTACCGTCCATTATTATGATAATTTTCGATTTCCGCATGAAGAAAAATACATAAGAAGATGAAAAAATAAAACGATCTCCGAACGCTCGCAAAAAAGTGAAAGTTGTATTCTCCTTTTTTTAAACAAATTCGCGAATGTCCTGTACAATTATTTTGATAGTTTAACAAAATTATTTTTATGTCTGTCTAAATTCTTAGATGCTTCAGCAAAACCGTTTTTTCCATGTGAAAAAAATCCAAAAATGATATCAAACACAGATCGATTTTGTTCCCCATTTCTTATCTTGCTGCAGTAAGCAATTATTATCTTTTCCGATAACAGGTTCGTGACGAGTGGCACAGAGCAGCGGTGTTACCTGTGGAAAAGATCAGTCCACCAGACAACTCGGCCTGCGTTTACGGCGCGTCTTGATCCTCTTTAAGGACAATTGTGCCGGGATTTCTCGACTTTGCGCGATCGCCGAAGATCCTGAGGATGCTGCGGTATTACTGGAGCCTGTAAGAGAACGCGTGTCTCGAATCGCCAAAGGATCCGTACAGTAAGAAAGCTTCACGGATATCTCTAATGGAAACGACCGACCAATCTACACCGAAAGAACTGCCGACTTTTACTTCAGGGACTCCGTCGCGCCTTAACGAGAGACGAAGATTCAGCGCGGGAATGCGACCGGTCCTTCGAAATTAATGGCGTTGAGGATCCTTCCGAGACACCTTTGGGACGTGGCGAGCCCGTTCACCTGCGACTCCGTTTGAAAGATCTCAAGCACCGTTAACGACAGTAAATTGCGATTGTATTTGAGAAATAATTATCCACCTCTTACAAGCATCACTTATTTTTGCGATATCTGATGAATTAGTAATCTCATAATGTTAAAGAAAGATTAATGACTGTTTTTAACTCAGTATTTCTTCCACGCTTGCAAATTATTGAGCATAATTTTGCGATCATTTGTCAGGCATTTCCGTCCAGACTTCAAACTTGGCTTAATAACACTTATTTATTTATTTCGCAATTTGCATCACTAGCACGCGTTAAAGTGCATATTTTACATACGCCATACTATATATTTTACCTTGAAATAAATAATAATAATAATAAACTCAGAAAACATTGAAAAATTAACAATTTGAATCACGATTTCATAATTTCGCTTCATAAACTGCAATTTTTAACTCGCCTACATAAATTCGCAAAAATATTTGTTACACACGCAATTTATTTAAATTATTTTGTTAATCGCAAAAACGATCTAAAAGATTCTCGAAAAAATTTTGTCGAAAGAAACAGGAGGTCATATTCTCAGCGTACATTTAGTACCAACTATGATCGGCTAATTTTCATATCATGTCTCCAGACATGTAAGCACGATCTACTAAATCAATAAAATTCAGAACCAGGCAGCCATATTTAACGTTAAATGTGCAAGAATATGGATAAATTGCATGTGACAATTATACGTGATTAATCTTGTAAGATTTCTTGCGTTTAAAAAAAAAGCCGAAATAGTTCGAATGGAGTATACAATTATCATCTCAGGCGTTGCATTTATATCGTTCTTTATACTTCGACCAGAGATCTAGAACGATCATAAATGACATCACTGTCATACACCAAAGAGATAAGCCGTACTTTTTATAATTTTTAAATGAATTAATGATACTATATTAAAAATATCCTGTGCGTCCTAAGAAATATTTGAATTCAATCTCACATCATACGAGAACCATAAAAATTAATAGATATTCATGTACCGTTTGTACATTTCCGTCAACTTATTTTTGTTCAAGCTTGTATAATTAGATACAATATTGCCAAAAAAATCTTTTCTTCAAAACTTGCATTTTTTTCTTTTTGCGTTGACTTCACTATTAACCGTAAAAGCTCTTCTAAATTCTCCAAGAAATTGATATCTATGAATTCTCTCTTTAAGCATTTTGCACTTAATCGTTCCATAATGAAGAGAAAAATAGCTGAATAAAAGAGGTCTTATCCTTTCTCTGATTTATAATATTAAATACATGAATAAGCATTAAACAAAAGCTTTCAAAGTTCACTTAAGATTCACTTAAGGTTAAATGTAGAGTAAGATTTCGTTACTTGTTTGTACTTTTCAAAAATAATATACGAAAGATCACTTATATCCAATCGCTTATATAATTGAGAAATTATTAATATTTCGATAGTTTTTAAGATAACTCCAAATTTGTCGATGAATTCGCCACCGATGGTGTTTGTCAGTGTAATTTTGAAACGCCCTATACATGAATATCGAATCAGACAAGTGCGCTTATGATGTGCGAATATAACGAAATCTCCAAAGAGAGAAGTTTGAGAATGCGAGAGAGATATTAAATTTCTAACGATTAATTAAAGGCTTCGAAGGTAGCTCTCATGCGTCAATAATAAAAAAGAAAGAAAAGAACAAATCATTCGCTTTATAGAGAATTTCTTAAATGATAGCAACGCAACGAAGCGAAATTTCCTGTTAATCGCGCATCGATTCCATTATAATCTTTCAAAATTTGACTTGCTACTTTCTATAAAATACAAATTTAAGTTTCCGGAACTGAGACGGTAAGTCTATATTGAACTCAATCAGTTATAAATCTCTTTGTTGAAAAAGTCAAACAATTCAATTCTTAGGTACATCTGAAAATTTAAACTACACTGCAAAAAGTAATATGTTTTATTCTGATCCCCATGTTTTAAACACTTAAAGATATTTTAGTTTTAAACTTTTTCAATTAACAAAACACTACGTGATTTGTTTATTTTAGATTTAAAACTTTATGCGTTTTAAATCCAAACACGTAATGTTTTGTCTATTGAAAAAGTTTAAAACTAAAATATCCTTAAGTGTTTAAAAAATGGAGACAAGAATAAAACATTTTAATATCTTAAAATTAAACACTTCTTTTTTCAGTGTATTCGTATCAAAATATTTTAAGAAGAACTTAATATTCAATCATTTTTATACAAATTATGTCATTTTTGTTCCTTGAAATTAATTAGTGCCTCTTATTTAACATAAATTGGATGGATCTTGCAAACCCAGAGTCAGTATAAATTATGATTTTGGTCTCACAGTTCCGGAAGGTTAACAATCTTGTCCAAATTCACACGCTATCGATAAAAGTACAACACTTCTGAGTTCGCATGGAAAGAATATCGGTTATTTTTGAAATTTATTTTAACATGCTGCTTGATTATGCTTAAGAGTGCGTACGTAATACCACTCGTTGCTGATATTAATTCACTGCCACACTTATACTGGATTTTACGAACACCTTGACTCACACTTATAATATTCTCAGTTTCAAAAACGTAAGCAAAGATGCAACAATGTTGAGTTGATAGATTTCATTGATAACAGGATTGCCACAAATTCTTCGTCCTAAAATTCCATAACTCGTCCTAATTTCCAAATAAAATTTCATGACTTTACCTGACTTAATATTTTTGTTTTTTCATCCTGATTTGAAAACCGTTAAATATTTTGTTGACAAAGCAATTTAGCAATGTCAATTATTATTAATGTTGCTGATACTGCTTGCATTTAATTGTTAAGTTGGTAGTATTCCAAAACTATGTAAATATGATGTACACACATCAAATTTCTTTAGAACCAAGAATTTTAATTTTCCGGAAAATTTTTAAAAATTCCTAAATTTTTTCCTGATTTCCACTTGTTCCAACTGTTTTCAATTTCCCTAACATTTCCATGATTTCCAGTTTTGTGGCAACTCTTGATAATTCAACACAAATTCTTTATGATGACTTGCAATCGATACATTTCTATATATCTGCATAGACAAGTTTCTCGGAGCGTAATAGATTGGTTATTACGCTACTTTGTACAATTTTGCTCCAACAAAGTTCCATCGCTGTTCTATCGCTGTATTTGCTGTTCCGATTGCACGAACCGTCGTCCTGAATCGTCCTACAGCCACAAGTGCTTTGAGAACAAAACGTTGATTTAACAAATCACTTGCAACGCGTAACGCGACCTATACTCTTCGGAAGCTATTGCTAATATACAAGCCGTTTTGAAAATGGCGTATAACAGTTTTCAGAAGTAGAACTTGTAGAGGCAGATTGCACGAATTTATAGTCCAGAATTTAGAGTGCATCACAAACTTGGATTTACGCCACTTTCAAAATAACTGTACGACCAAAAACTCCTGGATGCGTCGCGGATAGTTTCGTGACTTCTCTCAGGGCTGTGATATTTTCCGCGGGCCTCGTGAAACATTTCGTGCTTCCATCTAAAAAAAAAAAAAATAATCGGGGCGTGTCGCAGAAGGGAGAAAATGTATCAAAGAAAGTCGCATTATTGCGAATCGAAGACGTGGGTACGTTACGCTCGACAATTCATTAAAACGATAAAACGATATAATAATCGGTTTAGCTACACGACAGAATGCTCCTTGACAGAAAAGATAGGTACTTCGTAAGAGATATTTCAGAAATGTATCAGAGAGAGAGAGAGAGAGAGCCCCGAGAAGTCGAGAGGTTTACCGAAACTTTTTTGGTATAATATAAATATAATTTTTAATTTCGTACCTTGTTACAAATCATACATAGTCTTGTAAACGCTTTTATAGTTATTCAGAAAATTTATAGTAAAGTAACAAACATTATCTACAGCTCAATCGACCGTCATACCGCTTTAATCGAACGAACCGCGAGATACATCGCGAGAAGAGAAGCATGCGTCGATGCGCCGAGATTTTCCGATTACGACTTTGTTAATATTGTATTAAATGATAGCAGTATTTGGAAGGATAGGTAGAGCGAGGACGATAAGAAGCGTAACGTAGTCTAGTGTGGACTGTACATCTACGAGGAAATTTTTCAATACGTACTAAACACACTGTATTAACGCGAAAGCACATTCGTGTACACACATTTTTGAGAACAATCGAGATGCCTTCGACGACTCGCGGCGCTGCTCCACGAGCTACGGGATTTTCATCCGCACAAATTGTCAAAGAAATAGATTCTTGACAAAAAGAACATGCTTTTGCAATGCGAGAAAAAAACATGAGTTTAATGAACTTAGTCGTTAATTAAAAATATATCCTTGGCTGTATATCCCCCGCGACAACATTCGAAACTCGATTCAGCAAGAAAAGCGAATTCCTTGTTTTCCCTCGAAATAAAGCTATCAGCATGCATTTATCCCGATATAGCAAATACAATGAAAATTGTCAAAATACAAAAAAAAAGAAGTTACGATTAATTGATAATCATATTAGAGAGCGAGGCGCAGCTCCCTTTTACATAAATTTTAGCAGCAATAACGCAAGTAACCGCCAAATAGTCTACTGTTAAGTAGCATAAACGACCAATAGGAGGATACGTATATAATTTCTAATTCGAGTAAGTCTAACGAGTACGTAATTACGGCACTTTGCTCAATACCACCAATTAGGACGTCAGGAAGACACACACATACCGTTCTTTCCGTAGCGTTTCCGTAATGTAAACACCTTCGTAATTTTAACTACGTTTAGAGATGAACAAACGCGCGGCCGCGTCATGGTTATTCTTTATAAATAATTTACGAATCTTTCCTCCACGCGAGGCAAATATTGCAAATGACGCCGAGGCAAATATTGCAAATCGACTGTAGAATCGAGGGAAAATCATAGATAATTATTTTGAATGTGTATGAGTGAGCAACACATGTGAGCGAGATGAGAAAGAAGATATATTGTCAAAAAAAAAACCCGGAATAATTTCGAGCGTTTCGAGAAGGTGGACGCGAAAATCCTATCCGAAAAACGTCAATTATTTATGTATGTAGGCAAAATGGAATTTATCGATACGCCCGTGCCTCGTATCGTTTGGACAATCTATAATTCTCACGTTTAGTTTGTCTCGGAGTAACGTTTCATCTTACGTTCACGATCACGCCATTTTTCGCGACATGAAAAAATCCAATAAAAAAAAAAAGATATGTATGCATAGATGAATGTAAACGTTCTTTTCTCGAACAGCTCGACCATTATTCTCCCGATAGATCAACGTGTTCATTTTGTAATATC